AAAAAACATTTAAGTTAGGTATATACGTCACATTTTTTACATTCGTGGATAATATTTATATTTTTCCGATTGCCGTTTTAATTTGTAATTTTTTAAAGTTTTCCAAAATTCTTTTTACCTTTCCTTATCCAAGTTTTCATAATACCGTTCTATATTATTAATTATTGTTGTAGTCAATCGGTGTTCGAACGTTCTCGTTTACGACGTGGACTATGGCTATTATACCGGGGAGAGCACAAAAAAAAATTCACCATATGTAATACTTTTGTCATGTATTTAAACAAAATCTATGCTATACTATTATATTTTCTTGTAGCTTAACAAGCGAACAGGTGGTGAGGAAACTTATACAACTTTGTCATCCAGCATCACATCCTCAAAGTTGAGATAAAATAATGTACTACGTAGGGTGATTATTGTATCAGGTAATACCCATTTCAAATAATTATTAAATATCAATTCGATAATATTATTCATATCGAATATCGATAAATGCATTAAGTTATTACCGATGTATAAGCAATGTTAACGTATGTTATAGCAAAGGATGTCAACGTATTTAACGTGGAAAGGCCTTAACACTGTAGAAGTTTCCATAAACCCATTCCAAGTTAGAAAATAAAACTGGCCAAGTTTAATTTCAAATTTTTATTACCAGCTCTTTTATCTAACCACGGTGTTACAATCTCACATCAGGACGTTTGCGCATCGCTATTGTTACAAATGACGGATACAAATATTTTTAACTTGAAATTTTATAGTTTATATTCGTATTATGTTAGGTTTTGTAAGAAAACTCCGTTTTGAATAACCCTGTATAATAACACTGTGTACACAGTTTAAATGTATAAAAAAGTTCGAATAAGATTCAAATTTGAGTTCAAGTGAAGTTTGACTCATCCTATAACGGATGTCATCAGCTCTACGTGTGACATATTATACTCCATACCCACCAATATAGTAAATTAATATACAATATTGCTGCACCTGTCGCAGGTTCGAAGTTTATTAAAACACTTGTCTATTATACGTGTATGATATTATAACTCACAGCACGCATCCTATGCTCCTAGACAATATTGGCGTAAATACAGTGATAATTATTATAATCTCGAAGTATATACTGCAGGACATCCGACGTATTATCATATTGATTATTCGTGATTATTAATACTAAATACTAATATTGATAATCAATGGTATTACTCGTGTATCCGTGTACCTATACAATATAATAGGTGCTAGGCGCTCGGGGTTGTCAGTACGAGCAGATTCGTATTGGACATTCAGTCAGCGTACTATAAATTAATTTATTCCTATTTTCTATGTTTGTGGCTATATATACACTATATTATATACCATTTAAATGTAAAACTAAGTTTAATAAGTTCCAATAACATTCAATTTTGCAGAGTTCGGATGAAAATTTAAGTTTGGCCCATACCAGGTGCTTATCTAGCATTTTATTTCGGGGGGGGGGGGGATCGCCACCGATTTCCTTAATATATCATAAAATAACATTAATCACAACGAGTAGGTACCGGATTTAGAACAGGTGCCACTCCAAGCCTTATTAAATATGCCACCCCTACCACAAGAAATAAAATGTAGTATTTATTAATAATAAATCAATTTTATTATAAACAAATTAGGTTAGTAGTATAGTTATAAACAAAGCAAGTAATTATAAATTCTAAAAACAAGATATTTTTAATCTTATATTATGTTATCCATACAATTTTACAACGGACTTTTTTTTTTATGTCAAATTCACGGATTTATCTCTATGTTTTTTAAATATTATATAGCATTAATTTACACAGTTACATAAATGCATAAAATATTTATATGATTTGTTTTCAATTTCTTACAAAAATTACCTATCTGATCACGATGTATATTAGATACCTACTAAATATCAGTATTTAATAATAATTAATAAGTTGTAAACGCCTGGCTGGCTCACTATTGGCCAACTTGTCTAAAATCATATTGTCTGTTATAAAAATATTTCTGTGAATATTTAATAATCCTAAACCAACGAGACGATTCTCCGAAGTTAGGTTTCTGAAATACGTTTTTAAATACTGTAATTAACAAGTTAGACGACTTTGTCAGAGAAACTTTAAAAAAAAAAATCAAATATATTACCTTTTCATTGTTGAAAAATTGAGTTAAGCAATTCGAATGATACATATTTTCTCCATTATTAATTATTACTTAAAAATGTATGATAATATGAAGTTAAAAATAATTTTTATTTATTAAAATAATAAAAACATAAAAAACATAACATAATGTTATATTGTGGTTGTAATTAGGTAGTTAAGTAAGAATACGTAAATAACATACCAGTTTTACTTCTTTAGCCGTGGGAGAATAGTGGGAGAACTCATTTTCAACTATAGGAGCCAGATCTTCAGGATCAGAAGTTGCATTGAGTTGCATTTTTGCCTAAACTGTAAAAAAAGAAAACAATAAACATAGGTAATCATAATAATTTTGTAAATGTAATAACTTTATAATATAACATTAGGTCTAGGTAGTATAAATTACTTCTTTTTTACTGCGCAATACGAATGATAAATGTGTCGATTATTATTTAAAATGTTTAAATAATATAGAGTTAATAAAAGCTTTTATTTATTGTATAATAAATGTATAAAAATTAATTAAAAACACTTTCTTGTAAGTGAACCCAGTTCGTTATATAAATATTAAAATATTAAACAAACAATTATTAATAGTTTATTATAGTGGTATACCGTACACAAATAATATTTAATAATAATTATTAACTAATGGCCATGCAGTTGCCGAGTTTTTTTATTTGATCAATAAAAAAAAAAAAAAAATTATTATTTTGTTAATAAAATTATTTTTAGCACGGTCTTATAAGTGACTGTGATTTTCAGAAAAGCCGACTGTGCCTCTCTGCCTCTCGGCGATCGTTATCGACTGGTTTATAAATTTATAATAAGTATCTATGTTTCCCGATATTCGTATTAAACATGTCGCAAGTTAAAAATCTTAAAACACGTCTTGTCTACGAGTATGATTTATTACGACTTACAGCAAGCACTCTCCTATTAAACTCCTAGACATTATTGGCGTAAGTACCTATATAAAGTCATCATTATTTTAATATAATATAGTGTATAAGCTAAAGGACGTTCGAGTTTCCGGCGTATTACCATGGATTATTAGGCAATATTAAACACTTATATTATTGGAATATATTTCTATAATCAATGGTATTACGAGGTGTATCTGTTGTGTACTTGTGTATGCTCTCGGGGTGTCACAGCCTTTGGTTTTAATTTATTCCTATTTCCCATATTTGCAGTGGCAATATGCGATAAAACCTTAGTCTATGATATTATACACGTCGCATAATAATATAACTCCACGATATACATACAACGCATGTGTACCTACCTTTAATTATTTTCGATTTTAAATTTTTCGGCCATCCGACGACGCGCAGGTTACGAGGTCGGTCATCTATAAGCAAATGTCGCTAATGGCGACGACGGCGACGCGACTTTTCGGCATACGACGTGTACCTTATACCTTATAACTTATACCGGTACCGTGGTTGCGTACTTTACGCGACGCGGCCGTGTGCAGCTGCTGCAATCGAAGTAATTATTTTTCGCGAGACGAGAAAATGGAAAGACTCGCGTCCGTTATTTCTGCGGTGCGCGCCGACAGGAACTGCGACGGCGACGAGGGCAAACGAATAACAAACTCCGATGGAAACCTGTGAGTATATCATGTTCATATCGTATAATTTTGCGTATACATATATTTATAATTATAAATGTTACGTAGGTACAATGTATATAAATAATATGATATCCTCTGTAACCTGTATATACTAGTCGCGTACTAATACCGTTCATGTATACAGGGTGCATGTGAGTGTTTGCAATTTTATCGAATAGGTATAATATTTAAACGCCTATATAAGTTGCAGCTAATTGATTGAAAGTTATACTTACTCACTCGAAAAATACCGACGGGTTGATTGTTGAACTGTTTACACAGATTATCCATTTAGATATCATCTCTATTTAAAAGAATAAAAGAATAGCTGCGGTAGAGGACGGCACAACCGATAATGTGTTGACTCCGTTCTTAGTCGCAGTCGTACATCATGTCAAATTTAAATACAATTTCGTGTTATAGCTAGGTATTTAATGTCTGTTTAATATATTTTTAAACAGGTTATGTATTGGGATTTTAATAATATATGATCACACTCATAGCTCACTTAGAAATTAAACTATCGTAAAAATTTCAAAGCTCAAACACAGGCAATCAGGCAATGGCCAATGAGGTTCTTTTAAATTGTATGATACTATAATTTATTAGGTTATTCACAATAATATTTTATGAAGCTAACAACACAGCATTGATTTTTGCCGAAGAGAATTTGATAGGTATAATAGGTATGTTATGGGTATGGGTATATTTCGTATGTTATTGTTTGTAAAATCCCAACCGCACTATGTGGCCCCTTGTGGGTGTTGCTGCACACCCTCTTAAGTAGGTATTCTACACTTTCAGTGAATTTGCGTAAATTATCGGTGGGTTTCTAATAGATTTTTATTTATAGAGCACGGTAGGTATGAATATCACAAGTTTTACTTTTGTATTTAGGTTGTATTGCGTAGTGCGGTCCGGCAATGATATATTTTACCAATAATAAATTTCAATACACTTCAATCATATTCACCACAATCAATCATATACACGATAACAAGCGTGCAAGAGTTAGCCGCTACAGTGTTCGTCTCAATGGTGGTGTTCAAACTGGATCGGAAAAAAATCATCTTCAACACGGCGAACTATGATGGAAAACACCCTGTATATAGGTACCTATTTTATATTATTATTATATTGTCTTAAAGGTAGGTATTATGCCTATATAAAACGTACTATTATGTCTATGTGTAGGAACCTGCATATAACAATATAATATTATGTGTGCGTCATCGCTGTGTATAGGTTACGTATAATGTATATTATAATATAATAGGTGTACTTACCTATACATCATAATTATTATACCTACTAGTGTTTTACCCACACGGTGGGAACATCCTCTCGGTGCGAATTTATATTCGAGGTGGATGGCCTCCTTCCGTTTTCGCACCACAAGCTGACAGCCCGTTTAATGTAACACAGGCACACACAGTAGGTCTAGACATGTTATTAATTATCAATATCGTGAATTATACTCAGGCACGCAGCCTTGTAATATGGTAAATGTATTTACTGTAAATAATATAAACTTTAAATGAATAATGAATTGTTTAAAGTGTAGGTGATTATATTAAAAGTATAAAACCACTTAAGATTTCTGGTCGTATTATATATATGTAGGGCATTACATCCCAGTGGCATAGACAGAAATTTTCATGGGGGGGGGAGATATTTACTCATTAGCCATTGTCTCTAAAATAAATCGCAGTACAGTGCCCCCCGCACTAATACTATGTATAAAATTTGGGCAAGTGGGTACCGACCTGCTGTACACTAGCCAGTATAGGTAGGTAGGTGTCTAGAGGGGTCGATGTAATGGATGTTTTAAATTTAAATTCAATTGTTCAAAATCATTGTAAATGAAAAACGATTCTGGGCGAATAGAGCTCTGTCTACCTATAATATTAGGTAGGTATTAAGTATATTTCATGATATTCTTATGACAAAAGTATTTGATTTTACTATTAGGATAGTATTATAGACAGTGGCGCCAAAGTTTTGAAAATGTGGTGGGGCAATTTCGAAACTTCGTGGTCTCAATATATTAATTATTTAATATAGAAGCAGCTGCCCTAATATATATATTTACTCGTAATTACAGTGACGTGGATTTAATACACTCATGCTCATAATAAAGTTATGATGTGGCGACATTTTTAAAAAAAGAGGTCGGGCCATGGCCCGACGTTAGCATGGACTTCGGCGCCACTGATTATAGTAGATTTTTCCACATTCTCTTCTGCCAAAAAATTGCTTTTGAAAATGTCATACGAATATAAAATATAATAATATGCCTATTTTGTTAAAATTCTAAATTTTGACGATCATAAAAAAGTATTGCGGACTTATGTGCATAATTTTTTTAAATTTCCACCAACAACAACTTACGAGAAGCCTTGTATTCAATTTTGCTAACCTTTTTAACCAAGCAAAACATTTTTTACCGACAGTAAAAAAACTAATAAAAATCAAAATTTTCTTGTGTCCATAAATAGTTAAGATCGTCCATGTGTGGCTAACATGCACTACTTTATAGTCTTTTTTTAAAAATTTATTTTATTATTAAAAGTATAATTTATGGTTATAAGATCATACATTTTGAAATATATTCTTACCATTTAACTAGGAATCACATAACAAATTACTAGCCACTAGGTACTGATATTTCATTAAATTATAATCAAAGCAGGGCATGTTCACTATTTTTTTAAAACTAGGTTAAGCTAAGTTATCCTAATAGAATAGTTGATTGAGTTAAGTTTAAGTGATTTCAAAATATAAACAAAATGTTAGGAAAATATTAACTTTGCCAAGTTAGTCACTTTTAAAATTACTATCTATAATCTTTATATTTTGTAGGTACTAGCTAGAAAATAGTTGAGTTATGGTACCTACATCTATACAGGAATTTATTTTTATAAACCATATGTAATATAGCATATTAAATTAGATATAGATATTATATTATTTTATTCATATATTAGAGAAATATAAAATAGATACACAATTATCAATTACAAGAACCATTAAATGCTAAAAATGATTTTTTTTTAAATTTGTGGTCACCTTTTTAAGTTAATAGGTAACTTAGTTATTTTTTAACTAGTATAGTTATTGGAAAAAGTAATTGATAACTTAAGTTTTTAACTTATTAACTAATCATAAGTATGTTATTACCCAGATATTATAATCATTAATTAAATACTATGTAGGTATTGCTTTATGGTATTCAATTTGGTCATTTTGGATAAGCATTGACACATTAACAAATGTAGAGGGTGGTATACAGGTATAGAATAAAATCTACTTAACGTACATTTATGTTTAGCTGGTGGACTTATAAATACTTATTTAGTTTTGAAACACCTGCGATTGGTCTGATTCCTAAAATAGGTTTACTTACAAGTTGTAACTACACGTTTAACACGTCTGTTTAAACTTTAAAATGTATTCAAGTTTCTAATATACTATCTATTTATTATTTAAATACATTGTCTTTACTAATAATGAATATAAAAATAACTGTAGTGATTATGAAAAAATATTTATATATTTAGAGAAAATGTATTCACCACTATATTGACTATATTATACTTAATTTAAATATACCAGGTATAAGAAATGACTAGTTGTCTGGTTTAGGGTCCAAGCACCTAGTATCTAATAATATTTAATTTTAAATGTTTAAATAAATTTCATGTTAACAGGTTGATTACACTATGTGTAGTACTCCTGTACATACTGAGGAAAACACTAACTGTAATGCTTCATTATACATTTATACCTATATAATACCTATTTAGTATTGTATATGTAGGTAATTATTTTAAGCTAAAAATAATGACTGGTTAATTTAAAATATTTGGTACTAGGTACTGTTGATTATTTTAACATAAAGGAATGACACTTTTAAAAATGAACAATTAAGTCTAAACAAATTTATTTAAAAATTAACTAACATTATATAATAACAAATATTAATTTTGGAAAAATATATTAATAATATATACACTAGTATAATATACAATTTAGTAGAGAGTATTTAATCGAAAAATATAAAAACATATATTTATATAATTTTATATGTATCAGTAGCAGCATTCGTTATTGCAAATCTAAAAAGTATTTATGACCAATGAAGCCTTTGGATGATATTGTGTTTTGTAATGCTTCTTTGAATGAGTTTAATGGTAAAGTTTTGTGAGCTGGTGCAATTAACTTGCCATCTTTCATATATTGCAAGAGTTCATCATACATTTGGTTGTATTGCTCGGTGTTAATATTTTCCTTACGCCATCTTGTCATCCAAAAACCTCTGAGTTGAATATCTTTAAATATAAACGAAGCGGTTGGAACAATGACTGGTTCTCTCGACATACCACCATAAGTCACCATCACTCCTCCTTTGTTCAATGTACGTAAGACTTCTGTGGAACTTTTACCACCTACATTGTTTATCCCTAAACGTGGTTTTGGTAAAATCCCACTTTTAAACAAATCAGTAGTCCTAAATAAGAAAAAATTAAATGTTAATAGATTGCATAGACAACATAAAAATACTTACTAAAATATAATTATTATTTTACCTTAATTCTTCTTCAGTAAGTATGTATGAAGCACCTAGAGACTTAAGATGATTTTTCAAATTTTCCAAGTCTGGTTCAGGTCGTTTACGTATAATATTCACACTTGTATAGCCAAAAATGTTTGCCAATTGAATGATGTTCTGACCACATGCACTATTTGCTCCATTTTGTATGATAACATCATTTTTGTTTAGTGAAACAAAATCATGTAACATTCTATATGCAGTACACGGATTAGAAGAAATACCACTTAATGCATACACATTGGTATCTTTACTTACCTGAAACATAAGAATATAATTATTAATTAAGAACCATAATAGGAGATACATATCATAATGTATTCAGAATTTTCATGTAACATACATACACAATACACATGATAGCATGCTAA